TGGTAAATAAAAAAAAAAAAAAAAGACACCAGGGCAAGAAAAAAAAGGAAGGAATGAGATTAAAAAAAAAAAACCAAATGAAGTAATTTGAGGAGGGGGCGGGGGGAGGCGTTACCCCTGCGGCGTCACCCTGACAAGATGTGTCTCACAAAGGCTGGGGGGAAGGAACGAGACATGATGGTCAGGGAGGGAGTGGGACCGCGGGTGACCCCCCCGGGACCCCCCCCAGGACCCCCCGGGACCCCCCTCGGGACCCCCAGGCCTCACCTTCGTAGTTGATGCAGCCGTTGCTGTCCTCGTGGCCGGCCACCAGCTGCTCCACCTCCTCCTCGGTCATCTTCTCACCTGGGGGACATCGGTGTCACCCTGGGGACGTGGGGGGGGACACGCCCGGGGGGGCTGCAGGGCTGGCCGGGGAGACCTTGGGGTTTGGGGGGGCTTAAAGGATCAGACTGGAGGCACCAGGACCCCCTGGCAGCAGCTTCGGGACCCTCAGGGTGCCCAGACCCTCCCCTGGCAGCAGCTCTGGGACCCTCAGGGTACCCAGAACCCCACCTTGGCATCATCTTTGGGACCCTCAGGGTATCCCAACCCCTCCCTGGCAGCACCTTTGGGACCCCTGAGGTACCTCCAGGACCCTCAGCGTACCCAGACCCCCCCCCATGTCAGCAGCACTGAGACCCCCAGAGCACCTGGACCCCTCAGCAGTATCTCCAAGGACCACCAAGGCCGTGGGACACCCGAATGTCAGCACCTCAGGGACCCCCATACTCCAGAACTCCCCTAATCAGCACCTCAGGGACCCCCAACACCCCAGAAGCCCTGAAGTCAGCACCTCAGGGACCCCCAAATCAGCACCTCAGGGACCCCCAACACCCCAAAACCCCCCATCTCAGCACCTCAGCGACCCCATCTCAGCACCTCCAGAACCCTGGACCCACTAAGACCCCCCAAACCCCCCCCATTTCAGGACCCCACCCCCCTGTCCATCCCCATTTCCCGGTGGCGACCCCGGGGGCTGCCAGGGGGGCTGGGGGCTCACCCAGGGTGACGAGGACGTGGCGGATCTCGGCCCCCATGACGGTGCCGTTGCCCTCCTTGTCGAACACCCGGAGCCCCTCCACGTAGTCCTCGAAGCAGCCCTGGTCCTTGTTCTTGGCGATGGTTTGCATCATGGGCAGGAACTGCTCGAAGCTCAGCGTCTTCACGTTCATCTCTGCGGGACAGGGACGGTGGGGAGGGGTCTTTCTCCAGGGGGATTTTGGGGGAGGGGCGCCTGCTGCTGGGGGTTTGGGGGTGGGA